ACCAAAGGGATAGGAACTGCGGAGAATGGGAGGGTAGGGAGGGATAAGGGCAGGGAAGAAGAAAGGGGGTATTATGATTAGTATGTATAATGTGGGGGCTGGGGGAAAGGGGAGGGCTGTGGAACACACAGAAGACAAGTAGTGATTCTACAGTATCTTACTACGCTGATGGACAGTGACTGTAATGGGGTTTGTCGGGGGGACTTGGAGTAGGGGAGAGCCTAGTAAACAATGTTCTTCATGTAATTGTAGATTAATGATTCAAAATAAAAAAATTAAAAAAAAGGTAGTAGGCCAATGAATTACCAAGCAGGTATGAAATTAAAACAAAAGTAGTAAAGCCAACTATACACAAAATCTGTCAAAGTATACACAAAAATGCAGATTATGAAATCTAATACATAATGTGTTGGAGGAGGAAGGATAAAAATGAAGTACTTTTAGATTGTGTTTGATTCTGTAACATCTTTCTATGCTGACAGTAACTGCATTAGTGGGGGTGAGTATTTAGTAATATGGGTGACTGTTGAACCTCTTGTGTTGTATACTTGAAACCAATATAAGATTGGGTATCAATGATGCTTCAATAAAAAAAGAATATTTGGTGGTTATTCTGAGAATTATACATATTTATTTTTCAGTCTACCTAGAATTAACATTTTACCACTTCATGTGGAACCTCACCGCTATATAGGTCCTTTTTCTGTTTATATTGTTATATTACATCTATGTACCTTGAAATCCCCATCAGACAATGTTGTGATTTTAATTATTTTACATATATATAGAGAGAATTAAATATATATACATTTAAAGAATTCAAGTGGCAAAGGATAGTCTCCTATTTATCTAGGTTTACCATTTGCGTTTTTCTTCCTGCATTCCTGTTGTACTGAGTTTCCCTCTGTTATCATTTCTGTCTGAAGGACTTCTTTTAACATTTCTTTTAGAGCTGGTGCTCTAGTTATGTATTCTTCATTTGTCTTCGTCTAAGAATGTCTTTATTTCACCTTCATTCCTGAAGGGTATTTTTGCTGGATACAGAATTCTTGGACCACAATTTTTTCATTTCATCCATTTAAAAATATTTTTCTGCTTCCTTCTGGCCTTCATAATTTCTGGTGAGAAATCCATAGTCTTAAAAAGAGTTGTCCCCTTACATGATGCTTCACTTTCCTCTAATTTTAGAAGTATTCTTGGTCTTTAGTTCTCAGAAGTTTCATTACAATGTGTCTGGGCTTGTGTTTTTTGTTGTTTATACTGATCCTGAACTTGAATTTGCCAAGTTTCTATTGTGAACCTTAAAAATACAACTGTCACTTATTTTACCAATAAAAATAGCTGACAAGCCCAGAGACCAGAGGAGAGGAGACTCTTGTATAGAGGAAGGGGGAGTAGGGAGCTGTTTTAAGCAAGAAGCCCATTGGAAGAAACTGGGAGGCCCACGTGTTATGGCTGCTCATTGGCTTGCTTGTGACAGCCTCCCATATTGCAGGGGGACGGGTGTGGGGGTCGGGGAGGAGGAGTCAGAAGCCCTTCCTCCAGCTGAGGAGTAAAGTAGTTCAAACAGTATCACTTCCTTCTCATGGGGCCTACAATTGACCAGGAGGGGTTGGCAGGAGAGCTCCCCCTGCAGGCCTCCCCTGGGGCATGTCCGTGAGGCTTCCATATGTCACTTTTTACATTTCCCTTCTTTGATCCAGATCTCCCTCCAAAAGCATTGCTGATCAGGAGTCAGGTTTTCTGTATTTAGTGATTTTTGTCCCTTAGTGCCGGAAAGACTTTTCATGGTAGTCATGTCCCATATCAGAGGGAGACGGTGCACAGGCAGTTGGGAACCACTTAAGGCCACATTTGAGTAACCTTGAGGAAGGTTAGGAAGGAGAGCTCTCAGGCATTTCCCACCTATGGTCCATATTTGTGAAGCCTGTAAGCACTGGAGATCACCTTATTACTGCATATGCCATCTTTACAAAAGTTTGACAGGCAACAAAATACAAAAGAAAAACTCAGAAGTAGCATGACAATCCCAAATTGCACAATTCCTAAACCAGGCCCCAGGGTCTGAAAATGGCTGACTGAAATATTTGTTGGCACTTAATCCTGACAGGGCAGAACAGTTCTTCCTATAAAGGCAAACAAAGATTCAGATGTGCTTTCCGAAGTCCCTGCTTAAAGCGGCCATGACAGCAGAGTAATGAATACAGCAAGAGCACACGGACAAAGCAAGTGCTTTTGGATAGATACAGGGTAGGTGTGAACATGAAGCAATAACTGATTAACTTTTTTGCAAAAACAGCAAAACCTCAAAGATGTATTAAAACAGTATTGATCTCAAAAGAACTGCTTAGAATGAAATGTTATCCAATAATATAGCCTGTAAAGTTGCAAATACAGAGACTATAACATTGGATAAGAATCCACAGTCAGATAATAGTTCAGATGAAAGAAGGACTTTTACGAATTCTGAACCTTTCAGAAAAAGCTCACAGGAGCATGATGAAGCTATTTCCAAAGGCCATAATCAAGAGTTTCCCAGAAATGCAGACAAGGGCATTTTCTTTCCATGAAAGAAAGAGAAGACTTGAGGAAAGGTATACAGGCTGGTCTAGACATCTTGGGGAAGTTCTCCCACCAAATGTCATCTGCTTCAATTCTGGGAAATCTTTACTTTCAGGACACTAGACAGAGTGCAGGACAGTCAGAGCTTAGTGCTTTGCATAGATGTCATGTGAACCCAAGTCTCTTCCCTGGACTTTGGTGGCATGAGTGTTGGTATCAGTCCCTGATGAAGACCTTTCACTAAATCTATTTTTTCCAATAGACAAAATCTCCAGGTTGCAAGGTGTGATAGTTAAGGCCATCATCTCCCAGGACTGGTGTTAAAAAGACTTCTCTACCAAAACATGGTTATTTTTAACAAGCAACCTGTGTTAAAACCATAGGCAAGTCCAGAGGCCAGAGTAGTGGAGCCTCCTTTGTAGAGAAAGGGAGCTGGGGAAGGGCCCTTATACAAAAAGCCTATTGAAGGAACCTGTGAGCCCTTCCCACCCACCACAGCCTCTCATTGGCTGGGCTGTTGCCAGAGAATGAGAAAACCTTCCTTCCCCTGGGGGGAGTAAAGCAGGAAGTTCAGCACTATGGCCTTGCAAAGGCAGCTATTCCTTCCTGGGGTTTGCAGCTGGCTAGGGTGGTGGGTGTGAAGCCCCGCCCTGCTGCCACTCCACGCCATGTCAGGAAGGTTCCCTTGATTAATTTTCACACTGTTTTTTCCCAAACTATTATTACAGACTCACAGTTTATGGACTCTATCTTCTATCATTTCCATTGTGGTACTGAGTCTATCCAGTGGATTTAAAATAATGGTTATTTTATTTTTCAGTTCTAAAGTTTTCATTTTGTTCTCTTATATCTGGTATGTTGGCAAATGCTTTCTATCTTTCCATTCATTTTAAGAATGTTCACCAGTATTTTTCTGAAGCTTTTTCTGTAAAGTCTTGATCTGATAATTCCAATATATACGTCTTCTCAAAGTGGGCATCTGTTGTGTTTTTTCTTGCATGTTGAGATTTCCCTGGTTTCATACACTGGGTAATTTTGGATTATATCCTGGCTTTTTTTCCTATATAACATTTATATAGTATATTCCATATTGCATTCTAGTTGTCAGGATACAAAGATAAGGCATAATTCCTGCTGTCAGAGAGCTTACAGTGTAGGAAAGACTCCAACAAACCATTACAGCAGAACTAACCAGTGCTCTCAAAGAAACACGAACTAGGAAGATTGGCAATGCCAGGTAAGTGGATAAGTTAGAGAAGCAGAGGCTTGGAAGGAGTGACATCAGGAGTGTAATATGATTGCTGAGCATGGAATAGCCAGGTTGGGGCAAGAAGAGGAAAAAAGGGTAGCATGGGAGGGGGAGTGGAGTGCTTCTTGGGACCAGATACAAAGTCTTTTTGTGTGTGTGAGAACATTTAAGTTTTGTTCTCTTAGCCAATTTTAATTATACAACAAAATGTTTTAAACTGTAATCACCATGTTTTCCATTAGATCCCCAGACCCTATTCATCTTATAACTGAAAGTTTGTACCATTTAACTGACTTCTCCCTATTTCCCCAACCAACCCCCACCTCCTGGCAACCACTTTTCTACTCTATGACTGACAGTTTTTCTGTTTGAGTTTTCCATGGAAGTGGCACCATGGAGTACTTGTCTCTGCATATTTCACTGAGCATAATGTCTTCAAGGTCTATCCACTTTGTTGCAAATGGCAGGGTTTCTGCAACATAGATATATATGTCACATTTTCTTTAGCCATTCACCCATTGATGGACACTTAGTTTCCACATCTTGGCTATTGTGAATAATGCTACAATGAACAAGGGAGTACAAATACCTCTTTGAGACCCTTTTTTCATTCCCTTTGAAAATATACCCAGAAGTACGGTTGCTAGATAATATGGTATTTCTATTTGTCATTTTCAGAGGAACCTCCATTCTGGTTTTCCACAGTAATTTACATAAATTGGTTTTCCACCAATTTACATTCCTGCCACAGTACGTGCTATCAACACTTGTTATCTCATCTTTTTGATGAGAGCCATTCTGACAGGTAAGGTGATATCTTGTTGTGGTTTTGATTTGCATTTCCCTGATGGCTAGTGATGTTGGGTGCCTTTTTATGCACCTGGTAGTCATTTGCATGTATTCTTTGGAAAAATGTCTTTTTAGTTCCTCTGTCTATCTTTTAAATCAGATTGTTTGGTTTCTGCTACTGAGTTGAAAGGGTTCTTTATATATTTTGGATGTTAACCCCTTATCAGTTATATGATTTGCAAATATTTTCTTCCATTTAATACACTGACTTTTCATTTTGTTGGTTTCCTTTACTGTGTGGAAGCTTTTTCATTTGATGCATCCTATTTGTTCATATTTTTCTTTTCTTACCTTTGCTTTGGATGTGAAATCCCACAATCATTGCTAAGACCAGTGTCAAGGAGTTTAACCCAAGTGTTTTTATTCTGTGAGTTTTATGGTTTCAGGTCTTATGTTCAAGTCTTTAATACAAGTTGAGTTGATTTTTGTGTGTGGTGTAAGTCCAGGAGGCAGGAGAATCTTAAGCACCTACCAGGACTTCCTTCGCTACAGTTACAACTGAGGTATAGGCCTCTAGGTACACTTGACTGTAGCATCTTACAACTTTTAGGCTCTTGACTAAAATATCCTTGGCATCTCCTAGGTCAGTGCTGCAAGCCAGCCTGTAAGAAGAGACAAAGTCATTATAAAATGATAAAGGACTCAATCCAACAAGAGGATATAACATTTTAAAATATTTTTGCACCCAGCGTAGGAGCACCTAAATATATAAAACAAACATTAACAGACCTGAGGGGAGGCATAGGGATACAGTAATAGTAGAGGACTTTAATACCCCACTTTCAACAATGGATAGATCATCCAGTCAGAAAGTAAGGAAACACTGGGTTTAAACTACACATTAGACCATATGAACATAACAGACCAGACATTTACAGAACAATTCCACCCTTCATCAGAATACACATTCTTCTCAAGCACAACTTAGGACATTCCTCCAGGATAGATTATATCCACACACAAAAAAGTCTTAATAAATTTAAGAAGATTGAAATCATTCCAAGCATCTTTCCTGACCACAATGGTATGAAAATAGAAGTAAATCACAAGAAACCTGGAAATTAACAAATACATGGAGATTAAACAACATACTCCTGACCAATAGGTCAAAAGGGAAATAAAAAAAGAAATAAAAATATATCTTGAAACAAATGAAAATGGAAATACAACACACCAAAACTTATGGGATGCAGCAAACACAGTTATAAGAGGGAAGGTCATAGTGATACCCACAGTAAGACAAAGAAAGAGTTCAAATAAGCAATCTAACTACTCCTCAAGGAACTAGAAAAATAACTAAGTCCAAAGTTAGTAGAAGGAAGGAAATAACAAAGATCAGAGCAGAAATAAATGAAATAGAGTCTAAAAAGACAATAGAAAAGACCAATAAAACTAAGAGCTGGGTAAACAACATAGAAAAACCTTTAGCTACTCTCACCAATAAAAAAAAAGAGAAGACTCAAACAAAATTATAAATGAAAAAGGAAACATTACAGTTGATACATCACAACACACAAAGAATCCTGAGACTGATGTGAACAATATACAACAACAAATTGGACAACCTAGAAGAAATGAATAAATTCCTAGAAACATATAACCAAGACTGAATCATGAAGAAACAGAACATCTGAACAATAAAAGTACAGAGATTCAAGTGGTAAATTAAAACCTCCCAATAAGGTAAATGCCAGAACCAGATGGCTTCTCTGGTGAACTCTGCCAAACATTTAAAGAATAATTAACACTAATCCTCCAACTCTTCCTAAAAATAATAGAGGAGGGAACACTTCCAAATTTATTTTATAAGGTCAGCTTTACCCTGATACCAAACCAGACAAGTACAGTACAAAGAAAGAAAATTACAGGCCAACATTCCTGATGTAAAAATCCCCAACAACAAATTGGCAAAATGAATTTAACAATATATTAAAAGGATCATACACCATGATCATTTATTCCAGAAGTACAAGAATGCTTCAACATATGCAAATTAGTCAATGTGATATATTACCTTAGCAACATGAAGGACAATATGATCATCTCACTAGATGCAGAAAAAGCACTTGACAGAATTCAACATCAATTTATGATTAAAAACTGTCAAATATGTCAACATAATAAAGGCCATATATGGTAAGCCTACAGCTGACATCATACTCAACAGTGAAAAGCTGACAACTTTCTTCCTAAGATCAGGAACAAGACAGGGATGCCCACTCTCACCACTTTTATTCAGCATAGCACTGGAGATCCTAGCCACAGCAATCAGACAAGATAAAGAGATAAAAGGCATCCAAATAGGTAAGGAAGAAGTTAAACTGTACCTATTTTCAGATGACATGATGTTATATATAGAAAATCCTAAGGACTCCACAAAAAACTATTAGAACTAATAAGGAATTCAGTGAAGTGGCAAGATACCAAATCAATATACAATAATCATTTGTGTTTCTAGCAATGAAATACATTGTTAGAGAATGTGAAATTAAGAGAAATTAAGAAAACAATCCCATCTACAATTGCATCAAAAAGAACAAAATACTTCAGACTAAATTTAACCAAGTAGATAAAACATCTATGTTCTGAAAACTGTAAGACATTGATGAAATAAATCAAAGACTTGAATGGAAAGATATTCCATGCTCATGGATTGGAAGAATTAATATTGTTAAAATTCCCATATTACCAAAAGCAATCTACAGATTCAATGTACTCCCTATTAAAATTCCAATGGCATTTTCTCCATAAATAAAAAAATCCCCAAATTCATATGAAACCACAAAAGACCCAAAATAGCAAAAGCAATCCTAAGAAAGAACAAAGCTAGAGGTATTATACTTTGTGATTTCAAATGATATTGCAAAGCTATAGAATCAAAACCATGTGGTATTGGCATAAAACCAGACACACAATGGAACAGAACAGAGCACCCAGAAATAAACCCATGTTTATATGGCCAATTTATGATAAAAGAGCCAAGAATATGCAATGGGAAAAGGACAGTCTTTTCAACAAATGGTGTTGGGAAAACTGGACTGCCACATGAAGGAATGTCCTAGTGTTTTGAATATTATGTGGAGACATTAAACCTTATTATGTTTTGAATATTATGTGGAGACTTGTTTAAACCTTAAGGAGAATATTGACTGTATTGCTTCAGCAGGCAACCGGGTCACCTTTCTTCTGGGGCTCTGATTCCAGGGCAAGACTGGTGTGTTAAGTGCTTGCTCCTCAGATCCATCCTGGGTCTGTCTGACCCACCCATGGTCAGTCTGGGGCCTGTGGTGTGCACACAGGGTCAGACCCTATATGTGTAGCTTGGCAGGGAGCCCAGGAACTCCTGTGTAACTTCCCCAGGTCACTCACTACCCTTCCTCCTCTTCGTGTTTGCTCTATCATTTTATAGCTCCCTGGGGCCTGCTTTCCACGACCTCTGACCAGAAATCTGGGGCCTGTTTCCCCACCCTGCTGCACAGCTGCATCCAGGCCACAGCTAGGAGGGCAGAGAGAAGTGCTGCCATATGCTTTCAGGGTTCAGGTGCCTGCTGTTCTGACACTGCTGTCACCATGCTACCTTCACATTATTGCCCAGAAACTCGGGTGGAAAGGAGAATTCCCCCACTCTCTGACCTGTAGGGGCTTCGTTTCTTCTCCTTGGACCAGGGGGATCCTCTCTTTGGAGTCCTTTCTGTCCACATTGCCTCCCTAGGCTGGGCAGTCCTGGAAGGAAAAGTGCTGAACTCACCACCATTCTGTGGAACTTTGGGTCTGATCTTGCATCATCTGCCTGCTGCTGCTTTTCTCCTAGTTGTCTGAAATCTGTCTGCACCTGCCCAGAAGTTACGGATGTGGTCAGGGATGGAGACCAGGGGAGGGTACTCACTTCATCTTCTCTGGGCTTCCTGTGGAACAGCGGCCCTCACACCTTCTTGCTAGCTTCTCCTGGCCTGCATCGCTGACCAGCACACCACACATCACATGCCTTCACTCAGACAGAGAACCCAGGGGCAGCGCAGGGCTCTGCTTGCCTCTGGCCATACCCCAAATGCTTGAATGGACCTGACACCCCGGACATGCCCAGAGAGTACTTGTTGAATGAATAATTGGGCTGGAGCCAAGACTCAGAAGCTGGGTCTTGTGCCCCAAGCCCTTAACTGTGCTCTGAGGGCCCTTGCTTTGTTGACATCCCTGTCTCTCCTGTGTTGCCCCCAACTGGCAACAAGGTCCAGCTCCTCACCACCCTGTTGGCAACCTGCTTCTCAGCAAAGTCGTGCCTCTACCTGAGTTTTTGGCCTCCACAGTTTTCCCCACACTGCATGGGATTTCATACAGTACACCAGGGCCCAGGGCCACCTGCCCCACCCTGTGCCTCTGCCACATGCCTGCCTGCTGTTCTTTGCTGGCTCCTCTGCCCAGAATGCACCCTGCCAGAACTGCTCATGGCTGGGTCTTTCCCTGCTGCTCTACCCAAGTGCACCTCAGAGGGCTGTCTCTGCCTGCCCACTGCTGCCTCCCACAGAAAGTGGCTGCCTCTGCCTTTCCCTACCTCCTCATTCACTCCCTCCTAGCAGCCAGGGCGAGCTAGGGTAGCTGGCTGAGTTGCTGGCACTGCCCTCCCCCACTGGAACATGAGCCCCCCGCCTGGCTCCCAGGGCTTAGGCAGTGGTCAGGGGGACAAAAAGCAGACCATAAATCAGATGTGGCTTGAACAAGGATAGAGCTGGAGCAACAAGACCTGCATGTGGCACTGCTATGAGGATGGCCTCCACCTGCCAGCCTTGGGGTGCAGGGCCTCCACCTGGAAGGCTTTGCACAGCTTCTCACACACTCAGACCCAGGCTCCAGGTGGTAGCTGACCCCTCTGCTGGCCTCCCATCAACCCCTTTCCATTGTCAGAAGTGTGGCAGGGTGAAGGCTGTGGTTCCTGGGGCAGACTATCCCAACCTACCTCTAGGAGCCCCTGCTGTGCCGGGCACGGACCTAACAGCCAGTATGTCTATGCTGGAGGCCCCTTGGCAGAACGAAGCTTAGATTTCTTTTTCTTCTTTAAGGTGTTTTCAGCAGCGAGGGGTGAGGGCAGGTAGGGTGGGAAAGGGTGGCTCAACAAAGGGACCTCAGTGAAAGGGACCCACTGCCCCCCTCTGGCCCAGGCAGCCAGGCCTGCAGCTGCCCAGCTGTGCTGGAAACCAGTTCTGCACACTTCCCTGGCTCCTTGCCCATACTGTTCCACCAGAAGTGCCCTCTACCCCCTGGGCCACGCCCCTGCCCCCGCTCCTCTGGCTCTGTCCTCAGTGGCACTTCCCACCTTCTGTCCCTTGAAGGGACTAGTGGAGATGATATTGCAGCCCTTGCAGCCTGGCCAGCAGCCATAGGGCTCATCCTGTGGGCAGAGCTGGGCAGAGGGCCTGCTGGGGCAGAGGGACCTGGGGAGAGGTCAGGACTCTGGACAGAAGGTCCCTGCCATTGTGTAAGCCCCTCACTCCTCAGAGAGAAGAGTGACGCCACTGGGGGGGACTTGGTGACTCACACACATGTACATGTTCACACATGCATGTTACTTGCCTGTATGCACATACACGCCAATGTGCACACATGGCCAACACATGCACAGTACATGCATGCACACACAACAGACATGCCCACGGACGTGGGCACACACATCCTTGGCTCTCCTTGACTCCCTGCCGGTTTCCTTAGTGAGATGCAGGCTTGTTCCAGCTGTGCTAACAGTGACCAAGAGAAAGTGGTTGGGATTTCTTTGGGCCTCAGGCCTGGGAGAGCAGGGAACAGGGATTGGGATGGGAGCCCTGCCCTGGCGGGAGGAGGATCTTTGTCTGGAGCACCCCTCTGTCCCTGCTCACCGCCTTGGGCTTGCCTGAGGCTCTGCCTCGTGTCCTCCCCCAGCCCTGCTCAGTAGCCCCACACACCTGGGCCGGGTGGCAACTGCTGGCTGCTTGGCAATTTTAGTCTAGCTCTGGGTCTGCCCTCCCCCTGGCTTTGCTACTGGCCACCTGCTGCCGCCCATCAGACATGGAATCCTGATTGGCAGTTGATCTGGTGGGGGCTGGGGATGACTGTTATAAAACTGGGGACACCTGGAAGGCAGCTGCTCATCTGGATCCTAGGTTTCCCCACCATGTCCACCCACCGCCTGGTGATGGTCCGGCATGGCGAGAGCACCTGGAACCAGGAGAACCGCTTCTGTGGCTGGTTTGATGCAGAGCTGAGTGAGAAGGGGGCTGAGGAGGCCAGGAGGGGGGCCCAGGCCATCAGGGATGCCAAGGTGGAGTTCGACATCTGCTATACGTCGGTGCTGAAGCGGGCCATCCGCACCCTCTGGGCCATCTTGGATGGCACAGACCAGATGTGGCTGCCCGTGGTGCGCACCTGGCGCCTCAACGAGCGGCACTATGGGGGCCTCACGGGCCTCAACAAGGCAGAGACGGCTGCCAAGCACGGGGAGGAGCAAGTGAAGATCTGGAGGCGCTCCTTCGACATCCCGCCCCCACCCATGGATGAGAAGCACCCCTACCACAGCTCCATCAGTAAGGTGGGCTGTGTGGGCTGCAGGGAAGGCCTGGGGGTGGGGGCCCGGGGTCCAGCCGGTGGGTGGCAGTCTGGGGAAGGAACATCAGTGTGGACGCCCCCAGGAGCGTCGGTATGCTGGCCTGAGGCCCGGGGAGCTGCCCACTTGCGAGAGCCTCAAGGACACCATTGCCCGGGCCCTGCCCTTCTGGAATGAGGAGATCGTCCCCCAGATCAAGGCTGGCAAGACAGTGCTCATTGCAGCCCATGGGAACAGCCTGCGTGGAATCGTCAAGCACCTGGAAGGTGAGGTGCGGTGTGGGTGGAGGCAGGTGGGGTCAGGCGCTCTGGAGCCAGTCAGCCCCCTCCTGTAATTTCAGCCAAGTGCCCATTGCCTGGCGAAGGCAGCTTTGCAAGACCCAGGGTGGGGGCTCCGCACTGAATTGCACTGGAATGGTTGAGAAGCCATTTAGAAAAAGGCTTTTTGCTTCATTTCTGCACTGGGTCACTGTGTAGTTTCCTTCTTAAGATTGTGGGTGAAAATGTCTGCCATCACTGAGTGGGGGCCCAGGCCCTGCTCAGGTACTAGGGGAGCTGGGTCCCTCTCAGTTTCCCAGACACAAGCCCCAGGAGAAGTTGGGGGAGTTCCAGTGGGCATTTAGCCCCAGGGCACCCAGCTGGAGGAAAGGCGGGGCCATATGGCTCTAAATCATGGTTTGCTGGTCAGGCCACTTCACAAGTTGGGCCTCAGCCCCTGGGGCCTGGGGCAGGGCACTGCCCACTCTGATTCTTAAGGTCATAGCTCACACCTGACTCCAGGCAGAGGTAGACCAGTCAAAAGAATAGGGTGTGGAGCAGCCCTGGAGACCCAAGGCTTATAGCTGGGCTCCTTCCACACGGCTGCCTTTGAGTACCACCTTAGACAGTTACACAGCCCTCAGGATTTTCAGACTTTAGTACATGTCTAAATTAATCAGAATGGCCTTCAAACTTATTGGGATTGTGTAGCAGGGAAGGCAGGTAGGGTGGGGAGCCCCAAGCCTGCTAATGAGGCTGGGGGGCAGTTGGCCAGAGCAGACAGGCAGGCCCTGAGGCCTGGCCAGTGCCAGGCTGCCCTCCCCAGGGTGCGGGGTCTGTGCACATCTCTCACAGCTGGTGCAGAGCCCAGCACACAAAGACCACCTTCTGCCCTCTTTTCTGGGGGCTTCCTGTTGACAACGCCTGTCAGCTTGGTCCCAGGGAAGATGCACCAAGAGGAACATGACTGGGGGCTTCTGCTGCCTGGAGAATATTGTTTTAAGCCCTCCTTGCATTGAGGGGGTGGTTGGTGATAGGAAACACGAAAGGTCAAGCTGCTATTCCAGGCTGGGGGCTGTGGAGACTGGCAGTGTCAGGTTTCTACAGGAACCTCTCCACCAGGCGGAGCCTCAGTCTACTTTGGCCATGGTTGGCTCTTCTCACTGTCCCTCCTCCTCCATTTGTCAGAATCATCCCCTGCTTAGGACATCTAGGACTTAGAACTCTCTAGAAACCAAGTGGCTAATGTCCTTCTGAATCCAGCATCCATCAGCCCAGCCAGAGGTCATGTTGGGTGACTGATGGTACTGCCCTTGATGCGGCAGCTCGGGGTGGGGCTGAGGTCGTTTTCCTTGGTATTTCTGTAGGCTGCCCCGTCTCCCTTGGGTCTGCCTTGACCTCGTGTAGGCCCACTTCTGTGGCCCAAAGGTCTTAAAGCCTGCAAGAGCAGGTGGCTGCCTGGTGGGGCAGGCTGGAGGGTGCTCAGGATTCTGTCCTTCTGGTTCAGGGATGTCGGACCAGGCCATCATGGAGCTGAACCTGCCTACAGGGATCCCCATCGTGTATGAGCTGAACGAGGCCCTGAAGCCCACCAGGCCCATGCAGTTCCTGGGCAATGAGGAGACTGTGCGGAAGGCCATGGAGGCTGTGGCTGCCCAGGGCAAGGCCAAATGAAGGGTGGGTCTGGCAATAAAGGCACCTCCCCCACTACCTGGAGGAGAGAGTGGCCCTGCAGGCCTGGCTAGTGTTTCCCAGCACCCGCCCAGGGCTGCGTGCCCAGCCCACCCTCAACTAGGGGTGGAGATCCCATGAACCAGGGGTGGAAGCCTGGCCCTCATCCCCACATGGCTGCTTTGCTCTAGAATCAGGGTGCCTGGGGTTGCTTTGGGAGAGCCCACAGCAAGGGCTACAGCCAGGATGCAATCTCAGGGCCGGCTTATTCAGGTGGGTTGTCCTCTGCTGTGTCTGCAGCCTTGTGGAAGGATGAGGTGGTCCCAAGCCCATTGCCTGGTGTCCCTTTGGGAACGGACAAGGCCACAGCTGGCTGCTGCATGGGGCCCCCACAGCTGGGTGGTCCCTGTCATCTTTGTGGGAGAGAAATCAGGACAGGCTGAGGCCTGCCTGCAGCTCTGCCTGGGGGCAGACAAAATGTGCCACCTGCTGCTGCAGGGAGGGACTTCTCAGAATAGCCTTCTGCTCCCATGTTCCAGGGCACAGGACCAGTTCACCAGATGTTCAGTGGATGGTAGGCATCTCACTCCACATGCACATGTACTCTGCCCTGGCGGGTGGAGGTTTCCCATGGCAGGGGGCAGGGTGACCCTCAGCCCCTCTCAGAGAACTGAAATGCAGGAGCCTGACAGTCACATCTTAACATTTATGCCTCCCCCAGGGTCTGACAGCCTGAGGCCTGTGGGTGCACCTGTGGGTGCATGTGGCAGCCAGCCAGGAAGGGGTTTGTTTCCACACAGGGGCATTCAGATGATGACAGGGTGATCAGAGCTGGGTGGGGCCTGTGCGGGGCAATCCTCACCCCTAGAGCACACATAGATGGGCTGGGGCAGAAGGAAGGGAAGATGGCAGAGGCCACTGGTACTATTCTTGAACTGGAATCGGCTGAGGCACATACCGGGCCAGCAGGCAGGACTGGCCCCAGGAAGGACTCATGTCTCTGTGCCCCCTTCACATACTCAGACGGGGCATGGCCTGTCCCCACTGCCCTCAGCCCAGGCAGAGTGACAGAGGTGCAGGATGCTCAGAGCAGGATCTCCAAAGACGAACTGCTGCCAGAGCTGTCGCGATCCACCCTGACTCTGGTCATCACCTAGGTTCACTGTTCCCAAGGGTCACTAATAGCTGTAGCCACCACCCTTAGAGCCAAGAAGAGGAAGAAAGGCAAGGAGAGAAGGGGGCCTCATGGAGGTCTTTGCACCTGCTTAAACCCCCAGCTTGGCAGTGGGGTCATCAGGCCACAGTCAGCATGGGGCTGGCCACTGTGGGGCTCAATGTCCTCCATGGGGCCCAGGGCCAAGCTGGTTGGGAGGGCCTGGGGAGCTGCTGGAAGTATATATGGGAATCACTAAGTTATTGCCAAATTTGAGGTGAAAAAGACTGAGCCACCCAAGCCAGAGAGAGGCAGCAGGCTTGTCCCATAGGAAGACAGTGCATGCAACTCTCACACCACCACTTCCAGCAGTAAGAGAACCATGTCTGGGTGGGGAAGGGAAGGATGGCCCTTGGCCCTGACCAGCAGCGGAGGGTCCTCACTCAATAAGCTCCACGTAGTTGGCGGGAAACATGCCGAAGTGGCCATCGGGACCATAGCCCCGCCACCAGCCTTCATCGATCACCTCGATGCCTGTGATGAGGTTCTCAGGGTCAAAGGAGATTTCGGTCTCATCAGCTGCAAGGCAGGTGAGCCCAGATGCTGAGCCAGAGATTCTGGGGCCCTGGGCATGAGCCCCCAGCCTGTCCTGACACTGCCCCAGTGCACTCCTACAGGTCCACCTTCCTACAGGGTGTGGCTGTGGGCTCCCATTCCAGCAAACGGCTGGAGGACAGCAATTCTGCATGTCAGCTCCCTGAGGCCTCTACCTGGGGTACCCTGGGGTAACAGCATCCAAGCCTGGCTCACCTCTCTGGTCACACTTCAGGCTCTGGAACAAGACTGGCAACTGGGACTCACAGAGCATGCAGGGACCCCGGGCTGTATGGTGCACCCACTCCCCCTCCTTGTCCCATTGGCTCTTCCAACTCCCCCAGGGCTGTCTCCCCATCTCCAGATCTCTGGCCCAGTGGGCCTAGGCAGCTGGGCCACAGCACCTTACCTGCCTGGTAGTCATACAGGGCCCGGGCACAGAGCCCCTTCCCGCTCAGCCCTGGGTAGCAGCTGGCATGCTCAGAGCTGGCATCTTGCTGCTGCACCTGCCCATGGGTGGGAAGGAGAAGTCTGGGATCCTGGTCACTGCAGTCAGCACTACAGCAGGCCTGCAGGGAGAGGCTGCTGCCCCCCACCCCCTATGCTGCCCCCTAGCACCTCTCATACAGTTGTGCCTGCCGGACAAATCAGCACATGGGGATGCTCCGAAATTAAAATAATCCATGTGTAGCAAACCATGGAAAAGTCAGGCGACCCTCAGCATGGCCAAGGAGGGTGCTTCTGGGCACACGGCCCCATCACAGCCCGGTCCTGCTGCAGGGACCCACCATCAGGGGCTCCTCATACAGGGTGTCCTGCTCCGGGGCCTCCTCATACAGGGATTCTTCTTCTGTCTGCACTGGACCGAGAGGGGTGCTGGCTGCTGGCTGCTCATGGAGACCTGCACAGGATGATGCAGCCCCCTCTGACCCTGTGGAGGGGAGAGGCCACCCTGTTCCCTCCCACCCCCCACGTAAGCCCCTACGGGATGGCTGAGCGCCTTGCCTGCCATGGGCCTTGAGGCAGCTTGACGTGGCTCAGCTGGCTCTCTGCTGATGTGGGCCTCAGGCTGGGTGAGCTGCTTCTGCAGGAAGGGGCTCTGCAGCCGGCCTGCAAATCCCCGGTGGACACACAGCCCATCAGGCAGCCAGAAAGGGGCAAGGGAGGTGGGCTCAGCCTTCCCTTGCCCCATGCCGTTTCCCTGGAGGGCAGCCTGCCTGGGACAGCAGCTGTCACACAGGAGTGCATGGGGAGAAATGCAGCTGCACAAACTCCACCTGGAGTGTGCATCACACACACACACACACACACACACACAAACACACAGACACATACACCCCAGTATGCTCGAAGGAGCCCCTTGGGGGCGAAGTACAGTGTGGGGAAGCTGGCTGGCAGCACAGTCCTGTGTCCTGTGGGGGCCACAGAGGTGACTGTGCAGGTTCCTGGGATCCAGCTAGCAGGCTGATGTGTGAGCTGTGGTTATGGGCTGGAGGATCTCTACCCTGGAGCCACAGGTGGCCCCTCCTCTCCCACCAGGTCTCTGCAAGACAAGGTTAAGGGCAGGAAAGCAACCCCCGGGTCCTAGGCTCCCTTTCCAGAAGTAGCCCTATGCACACAGGCTCTCTTGCTCACTCGTACCTGTCACTTTGACACATCTGTACTACGTCAGGCTCCCTGTCAGCCTGCCCTGCCTATGGCCAGACCCAGAGGGAAGTCTCACCTGGCTGGGCGCTGGAGATGGATGTGGTGGACATGGACCTCTCCTTCTGCCTGAAGAGCTCCCGTGGGTTTGCCGGCTGCTGGGAGACAGGCTCCTGGGGGAGCACAGGGACCCAGCAGCAAGCGAGTAAGGGCCAGGAGTGCACTGGCCCACCCAGTTCCTGGCTGCTGTGGGGGCGACAGACCTCTTCGCGAAACGGGCTGGGGTCCACACTGGGAGCTTCCAGCCTTCTCTCTCCTTTCCTTGGCCACCTGACACACCCACGTGTCCCAGGTTCCAGTCTGCCCCAACTGGCTGTGCAACTCCACAGTAACACTGCCCTTAGACCTGCCAGGGGGAGCCTGCACACCAGGATCCCACACAGAGCTTCTGACAGGCCGCCTCCCATGAGGGACTGTGTGCCGCAGTGACTAACCCCACTGGGGAGAGCATCCAAGTCTCACCTGCTCCTCTCTGCTCCTCGAAACCACTTCCTGTTGCTCACACTTCCTGCTGGGGGTGGGCAGAGGGAAGAGCTGCACCCAGCCAGGCCCCTGGTGACCCTCACCTGCCCTGGATACTCCCTGGGAGGAGAAAGTTCCAAGCCAGCCCAGTGGCAGCCAACCCACTGGGCCTCACCTCTGAGGGCCGGGCTCACTGTCCTGTTCCCGGTAGCGCTGCTCACGGTGGGCGGCCTCACGCAGCTCCCGCTCCCGGCGCTCCTGCTCCAGCCGCTGCCGCTCCTCCTGCACCCGCCGCTGCTCTTCCAGCCTGCGGTTCTCCTCCTCCTTCTGCAGGGATAGCCGCGCCCACCCGCCTGTTCAGCCCTGCACAGCCAGCAAGGGGTCCTGCCTTCTCAGCGACTCCATGCAAGCCACTCCACATGGCTGAAGCCTGCATGGGCATGTGGCGAAGCAGGGGACTTCAAAGGACACACGCTAGCCTTTTACTTAACCCTGCTAGGCCTCAATGTGACCACCTGTGAATGGGTGCTAACAAGACTTTTTGCTCTGTGAGCTTATTGTAAGAAAAACTGAGACACAGTGGCTAAGACATGTTTATCACCTGCCAGGAGCTTACGAGATGCCAGCTGCAGACCAGGGTATTACCTCGGCTTTAGCCCAGAAGCTGTCTTTTCCAACCCTTTTAATCTCAGACACAGCATTGGTCTTCTGGTACACAGAACCCTGCAGAGGACAGGGGATTCACTATAGGCCCCTCCGTGGGAGCGCACAGCACAGGCAAGAACTCCTGGGGTGGTGCCTGGCCCAGAGACCCTTACAGAGCCTGACAAGGTAGCCGGAAAGGCCCTGGAAACACCAACCAGGGAAGCGTGACCCAGACGGCACTGAGGGGGTCTCTGCATCAGGTCCCTGAAAGCTGGGCAGTTCTGAGGCAGGCCTGGGGCTGGACCCCAGCCTCAGATAGCTGACTACCACACAGTGCCCAGAATCTCCACGGATCCGCTGTGCCTCGGGGGACTTGCCTCCCCACCAGGTGCCAGGGCTGCATGCCTACAGGAATCTGCTCTCAACTCACAGGGGGCTGCCCTGTCCACCCCTGGAGTCTCTTTGCACAGCCACCGTCCAGGGCCACAGAGGACATGCTGGTGCTGTGGCCTCAGGGTGACTCGGCTATCCCTGCAGAGACCCTCTGACCACACAGGGTTGGCACAAGAGCTCTGGAACAGCCGACTGAACCCCAGGCAGGGCTGGGGGCTGCTCCTGCCAGGCACGTGACCCTGCTCAGGACTGGCAGCCGGGCAGGCAAGGGGCCCAGCCTGAGGGACATGGTGGCACAGGGAGGTCCAACCCATCTGGACGCTGGGAATGGCACACTCGGGCCCCCTGCCTCAGGCCTCGGCAGAACTCACCACGGGGGCCTGGGGACCTGTGTCCTGGAAGCGGCTGCTCTCCCTGTGGAAGGCGTAGTTAGCGCCAGAGGCCCTGGCCACCTTCTGCATGATGCACTCGGGCTCCACGTCCTCCTCAGCCCGGGCATTGATGGTCACGTGTGCCCCCTGCAGCAGGAGGGGCACTCAGCGGAGGGTAGCCGTTCTGGCGGAGGGCAGCTACCCACCTGTCCGCAAGCGCCAACAGGCTCTGCACAGGGCTCAGGCCCGACGGCGGGCAGGCATGCTGGCCCAAGGCCTCCACCCTGTGCTCAACTGGCTTGCGTGTGAGGCCTTTGTCCTCGTGCCATGGCGGTGGCATGTTCAGTACGGCTGTCTGTTCCTGCTGCAGTTAGGCAGACAGCTGGGGCATTAAGGGGCTCCTTTCTGATTGATGCAAACTAACAGTAAAACGCTTGGAAATGGACACATTTTCTACAAAAAGATGCCACTGATTTCCTCCTGAGGTGAGACCCAGGACCTCACTCACTGTTACTAAATATCTAATAAGACTGAGAGCTGCTCTTTCAGGTCTAGATGGAGAAACTGAGTTATTGAAAAAATTCTGGCCAAACATCAGATTCCGAGTCTCCTTGCCAGTAACCTAAGAACTTCAAGTCACCTGGCAAGTGAGTGACAAACATGTTTCGATACAAACGCTTTTGAAACTAAACACAGCTGCCTCTTATGATGACTGACTACTATGTACTGTGTGCATCTGCCAGGCTGTGTGCTCGGGAAACAAGTGAGACCCACGGCTCTGCCTTGCCCAGACCAGGGCCAGCGTGGCCCTCCTGATCAAAAAGGACACAATCCTTCATTCTTCTCCCCATGAAGGCTCTGGCCACACCCTGGCCTCCCATGCACTCGCTGCGCATGAGGGGAGCAGCCTCAGGTCACATCCTGAGGTCAGTGGGGTGTCAGGACAGGGCACATTTCCAACTCCAACTGGGATTTCTGCTCACTTACAGCCAGGGCCTCTGGTGCCCGGTGACCTCTGGGAAGCCCTTTAGGGAGCAGCCCTCACCTTCAGGAAGCTGGCCATGGTGCTGACGTGGTTGGCACATGCTCCCTTCCTCACGTCGTTCACACCCTCGCCTGTCTGCAACACAGTATGCCCAGTGTAACCCACTGATGCGCCGTGGCCTGGGCTTCCCCGCAAAGCCAGAGTTCTCCTGAGACCCGGCAGCTTCCCCGCATCTCAGCAAAGAGAAAACTGTAACTCTGAGGCAGAAAACAAGGTGAGCCCACACCTCCAAGTGGGGGAGGTTCTTGGGACATCTGCAGGGGGCACCTCAGAATCTTCGTCTTTGCCCAGGGATTCTGTTCTGTTAAAGCCTTGTCCTGGGCTACCAGAGCCTTCCCAGCCCTTCCCTATGCCCTCTGCTCCCTCAGGATGGCTCTAATAAAGGGGATAAGGACAAGAGTGTCCTGTGATGGTCTGCACTCCATCTGCAGGAGGAGCTCTAGGCCTGGAGGGTGAATTCTGTGCTCGAAAGGTCCCAGGTATTCTCTGGGCCACAGCAAGTTGACCCACTACCCTGTTCATAACCTAGCTCTGTCTGAGCTGTCCTGAGGTCAAGTCCTCCTCTACTCCAGTCACCAAGAAGAAAAGGGCATTTTCCAGGTCACACCTTGATGAGAACTCATAGCCCTCTAGGTCCACTTACCCAGTTGATGAGGACAAACTTGGGCAGGCCAGAGTTAGGGTCCTTCACTCTGCAGAAGGCGTACATCACCTTCCCACTGTTGAGCTCCTCCACCATCTCTTCTAGGCCACCCTCTGTGGAGTCACAAGGAGAATCAGAGGTGGCCCAGTGGCCTGTCCTGGCACCCAGTTCACTGGGACAGAAAATCCAAGTTGCCTCTAAACCAGGGCTCTCGGAGTCCCCTGTGTCAGAATCAGGCTCCTGGGCCTGGCCCACTGAAGTCCAGGAGACTCAGGGCTCAGGAGGTTTTTCACCCTACATGTCTATAAACACCACTTCTACAGACCCGTTCATAACTTCAGAAATAAAAATGTCATTTCACTACAAATCAGACACCAGATTTCCAAATGGAGGGGCTCTGCCACATTTTACCCTTGTGTGGACCCCCCAGAGGGTCCTGGAATAAGAGGGCCTGTGAGTCTCCCCACACTTACCTGTGTTTGCTTAGACTCCAGGGCCACTCAGAGGGTCCTAAGCAGATGGCACAGCCCACAGCAGGCACAGGCTCAGCTCTCAGGCCCTCTGAGTGAGGATGACGGGGCACAGGAGCAAGCTGCCCTAAGCCACTCTCCCAGACACAGGCTATGGGCCCAGCATATCCTAGACTCTGGGGTTTTTAACCACCCACCAAACCTTCCCAGATTATGAGGAGGGGCAGGGATCTTAGCTACAGGGCTCCGCAGAAGCTGGGGTAGTCCCTAGCCCTGTGCACACCACTGGGGGTGGAGGAAATTTGGGCTGCTGAATCTGCGGCTCCTAGTTGCCTACAGTGCATGTGAGGCCACCGCCAGTGGCCTCCTTCTAGAAGGGACCATCAGAGAGGAGCTCATGGAAGCGACAAGCCCCCGAAACCATGGTGTGGCAACAGTGCACTGGATAATGATGCCATGTGTGACTGGGCCAGTCAGCTAGCCTTGAGTACAGAGGAGTCAGAGGCATCAGCTGGGGGCCCACGGCCCTCCGGCCCCTCAGGCCCAGCCCGCTCTGCCAGCCTCTGCCCAGCGCCTGCCGAGAGCCTGCCCTTCCTGCAGAGACCTCCAGATACGCAGACCTGAGTAGCACCTCCCAGTCACCCTGTTCCACGTGCATGGATGCTGTCTCTCTTCAGGGAGGGTGGTCCGGGAGGAGGGAGAGGGAAGGGTGAGCACCCTCTTCTCTAGCAGCACCCCGCCCCAGCCAGGCTAGGCACATGGCATGGGCCTGCGCAGGCACCTGTGGGCTAGGGAGTCCTGGCCTTTTTCCTCCTCTCACATCTCCAGCTACACAGAGCAGTGCTGTCCTGCGTCTCTAGGCTAAGAAAGCTAGGAGGAGTAATTTTCACTTAGAAACATCTGGAACCCAAAGCTGACCAGAAGAGCCTGTGAGTGCTGGGGGCCGCACACTGCCTGGTGGGGCCCCCACCTGTCTGTCTGTCTGCAGCCACCGTGCCTGGTCCACACCCAGATCAGGGACCACTAAGTGAAGTAGGACGTGTCTACTCTTAGCTAGGGGAGCTGCGCCGCACACAGAGGACACTGGGTACTGAGTCCTCCCACTGTGATAGCACGGATGCCCGCTGAGATGGAGCACCATGGGTCACACACCTCTCCCCTTCGTGCCCGTCTATCTCCTGCTGCACCCCCCTCTCCCTGCCCAGTACTCACCTCCAGTCGCAGCCACGCGGATGTCATTGCTGTTACCTTCATAGGTAAAGAGAGCCCTGGAAACACAAACAGGCTCTATAGCCAGTGCACTGGCCACCATCTGTTCTCAGGGCACCTGCCGTGGCCTCAGGCTGTGCCCAGTGCTCAGCGTGACATGGCCCTGACACACTGGGTAGGGAGGTATGGCCTTTTCAGCTCTGAAGCTGGGGTGATGGGAAGTGCGCTGGTCTGACTTCCCTCAGGGCCGTGCTGTGCGGGACAACCTATGAAGACGGGCAACAACTATTTTGAGGAAAACCAGGCTGTAAAGTTTTATGGCAACTTTTTACATTCATGTGTGAAACACTCGCCTGGCTACCAGGTAGGTGACCTTGAAAAGATGAAAGATTGTTCCTGAGCCAAAGCACCCCAAGAAGTAGGCAGGTGGCCCCTTGGAGTGCTGCCTGGTGCCTCTGTGCCTCTCCCCTCCGCGCTTCTTGGAAGCTAGAGGGGTTGGAGGCTCAGGTCTCTCTGGGTTTGAGACTCTTCCAACAGACACAGACTTTTATAGGTTGCACATGGCATCAGAAACCACAGGGACTTTGACTCAACGAGCCAGAGCCCACACAGAACAGGCTCCTTGGTGGAGCAAATTTATATCTAGCAGAGCCTTAACACCATAGTTGACACTGGGCCATGTCTTTCTCCTCCTGTAAGACTGATTATTCATAAGAACTTTGGAAAAGATGTGAGCTTATAAACTTGTGTCCCTGAAATGCTGAAGAAATAGGGTAAATTTTATTAAATCTGGACCATGGAAGGTCCTTTGGCCAGAACAAAGGTTACTCAAGGAGAACGTTCTGCAAGAGCAAGTTTCTCCACAGTCTGCACAGAGGTGTCATCAGCACCAGGTCTGCACAGTTCAGCTCAGCTCCAGGCAGTGCTGGCAGACCAGGGTGGGGCACTGACCCACTAAACCACATGTCAAGGGCACATCAATGGAGTGTGCCCTCTACCCATACCTCAGAGTTCAAGCCTGTGGCAGGCCAGACAGGCGCTCTGGGGGTAAATGGCCTAACAGCAACCAGACCAGCCAGGGCCTTGCTATATAGCCTGTGGTGCCCTGCCTATGCCTGAGAAAGTCGGGAGAAATCTGACCCAGGTTCAGCCAATCTGGTTGGTATGGAAGACAGGCTGCCAGGAAAGAGGCACTGCTTCCTAACAGAGAGAACGTGGAAAGAACGATGCTGAAAGGAACACTCAGAGAAGAGACAGAAGGCGGCCTGGGAGAACGTCCAGACTCTTGTGGCTGGAGTCCTGACCAGACCTCCTCTTGAAAGCCTTGAAGCCTAGCTGCTGACAGTGGGGACACTGGGCAGACAGCAGGGAACATTTGGCTGCTCAGCCCGGAGCTTCCAAGAAGGGACCCAGTAGCAACTAAGAGCCAAGCTCCATGCCTGCCGCCTGCCCCTCCAACTTCATTCCCCTCCTCTTGAGACCCTGGGCTTCAGCCTATGCCACCTTCTTGATGTCCCCAGTCCTGAGACTCATTCCCACATTCAGTTGAGTGTCATCGTTCTTTTAAATCAACATTAAAAACAAAATGGTGTGTTAGCCTGAGCACAGCACAAGGAATATGGGGTACCAAGCACCTTATAATTAAAAAATCTTCCAAAAACAAGTCCTGAGAACCTGCATCTTGCTGGTGCTGGGAATATAGCTTCTAGTAATCCTAAAGAGGCCTGACCACGGAACTTACTTTCTAGTGGAGAACCAAAACCACACACATTAACAGGAATGTAATGTCAGGTGGTGAAATGGGTGCAGGTGAACACCTCTGTCTAGGGGAAGAGCTGAGAGAGAGTCAAGAGGGATGGCTGCGGCTGCGGCTGCTTCCCACCCCACCTCAGCCTACTCTGCATCTGAGAACTCTGATGATCCAGCAAAACTGAGACCACCTCTTCTTGCTCTGATACCCTCTACCACCTTTTTGCCCCTCAGTCCACCCTTCCTCTGAACATCTACTATACTAACAGCCTACACCAGGGACAGGGGTGGGTCCCACCTCACCCCTTCTATTGAAGAGACAAAGGTGACAAGACAAGCAGTGAAATGTCTGGCATGAGTGTGGAGGAAGTCAAACAAGGAAATGGGAAAAATGAAACAGCAGCCAGGGCTTAGGAATGGAATCAGCCTCTCCAAGGTGACCTTGGTGCTGATAAGTGAAGTCTGAGGAGCCCTCTGTGATGGCGGAGAAGGGCACTCCAGGAGAGGAAGCAGAAGAGCAAGGGCTCTGAGGAGAAACCGGCTTGCAAATTTGAGAAAGAGAAAGGTGAACATGCTGGTAGACAGGTGTGGCCACAGTGTGTTAAATGGGAGGGTATGTCAGGTTGAGGACACTGGGCTTTACTTAATGTTCAACAGGAAGCAGCTGCAGAGTTTAAGCAGAGAAGTGACACAGTCTAGGTATTTTTCCAGCTAGTGAATGGGGACCTGCCATGTACTTAATAGTATGACAATGAGGACAGGGGCTGGAGGTTTATGCTGCTGAGTGGCAGGTCCAAAGTGCTACCAGTCACTGGGGGTAGGGGAGGAGGCTGGCGAGGTTGGGCTCTGACTGGGTAAGAGGAAGAGGAAGCTCAGCATTCTCGTGAGGCAGAGAAAGGAGATGGGGGATATGCTTCTGACCCAGGTGGCAGCAGAGAGCTCTGGTAAGCAGCCCAAGAGACAGCTGGAAACACGGCAGACCTGAAGAGGGAAGTCTGAACTGCCGGCTGCACTGTGGGGTATCATCTCCAAACCAGTGATGGTACCTGAAGACAGATGATGAAAAGAGACCTGGAAGGAGACCCACCAGGAGGCCCAGAGACTCCTGGTTAAGTCAGAGGATGGTTAAGAGCACATAGAGAAGCAAAACCCTAGCTGGGCAGGACTAGAGGGGGCATGACTGCTTCCAGTGACCCCACATGGATGTGAAAACAGGGCACTCAGTGTGAAGATACTTCCAAGGGACGGAGTAAGGGCCCTCTGAGAATAGGAGATAGGTGCAGTGGACGGCTGACATCTAGAAATAATAATTAGAGAAATAATAGTGTCTGATACTGGGTGAACTTTCCTGAAAGATTATAAAGAAAAGAAAGCAGAGAAACTCTACTAGTTACCAGACACTCTTCCTAACGAATTAGAACAGAGTGTTCCAGAAGCCGCATTGCTTGGCTCCCCTGCAGACCACACAAGTGCCATGGGATACCCACATCACCTTCGCCCTATGCACTGGAGTCTGCAGAGATATTGCGGGTCCAGGCGGCTGGTGCTCTGAAACTCTTCCCCAGAAGGCCTGGGGCTGAAGTCAAGGTAAGGCTGTGATGTCCTCAGTGTCACAGCAGTGCACTGTGTGACAGCCACTGTGCTGGGCAAAAGGGAAAGCAGACACCAGACATCACAGTAGCATGGCCACACCCAGTGGGCCTGCCCCAGGCCCTAAGAAAAGTCTCCCCAAAGCTGGTTCCCACAGTGCATCTTATTCAGCATATTGTTTGGAAGTGATCAAAAACTGGTCAATGAAAACACTGTAAACAAATGGAAAGTGGCAGAATTAGCATGCATGACTACCAGTGCTTGCAGAAAAGGAAGCTGACCCTGTGTGAAGGCTGCCCAGAGTTATTCGACAGACTTCAGATCCAGGCTTCCAGTACAGTAAAGCCCATCAACGGCAGGAAAACATTGGACAGCCTAACGGAAGATGTCACGTGGAGGTGGAGAGAAGACGGGATCTTTTACTAAACAGCCACCATCCATCGCTGTTTCATTCATCCCCCATGGACCAGCATAGGAAGAAGCGTTCTTGGAGAAAGGGAGGTTCTGAAATCCACGTTCAGAGAACCAGGGACACAAACCCGGACCTTGTTTGATGCTTCCGGGGTCAGGCTCCCATTGCCAGGTGGGCCTCCGGACCAGAGGCCCATTCGCGAAAGTGGCGTTTGGAAGGCGCCGGACGCTGCTTCCTCTTTCTCAGGGAAGGATGGGGACCCCTGCTAGGGAAATTCCGGGGCAGCCAGCGCGGCCAGGACGGCGCCCGGCGGGAAGGTCGCGACGGGGCGCGTCTGGGATTCGCCGGGCGCCCACCTGCCCATGCATGGCGGGCCAAGAGGAGAGGAGGATGGGACGGTACCCGGGGGCTCTGGCGCAGGTGTGGGCAGACAGGTGGGCTATGGCCCACCTGCGGCTGCGCGGCCCCGGGGGTCTCCTCCCGCGGCGCGCTCCCCTCCGCCCCCAGCCCGCCGCGGCGCCCACCAGTCGGTCGGGGACTTCTCGGTGACCACCCGCAGGTAGGCCTCTTGCAGCGCTGGCCCGTTCCGGCTCAGATTGGCAGCCATGGTCAGCCCGCGGTATCCTGCCGCAGCCACGGATTCGGCCCAGCCCGTCAGGGCCGCGACAGCCGGAAGCCCCGCCCCGAAGGCCGGAAGCCGGAAGCCCCGCCCCACCCGCTGAGGGCCGGATGCGGCGCTAGAGGTTTGGGGTCTGAGGGTGGTGCTGGGCCCGGGCGGAAGGAAGGCCGCAGGGGAGCCCGCTGTGAGAAACGCGTTCACTGGCCCGACTTAGTCAAAGGGAACAGCTCGAGAGAGGCTTTAATGATGGTCTTGCAGGATTGTGGGTCTGGTGAGCAGGCGCTCAGGACGCCTACAACAAACGATTTATTCCTTGGCACGCGAGTCCCTCCCCTGGTTCCTCATTGGCTGAGTACCACAGGGTTCACATTCTTTCCCGGAGGTCTCCTAAGCAAATTATATCTATATTAGGCATTTTTAACATTTGTCTTGATTTCATTGGCTGGTTTAAAACTTTTTCTGCATTTTTTTTTCCAAAGAGATTCTCATCCCTCACTTTCTTAATGTCCCTCCGCCTCCCAGCTGGAGAGACTCCCTGGTACATGTTCTTGTTGGGGGAGCGATGTGTAGTTCCTCGGTCCTTGCCCACCCCAC